CTCCCCACTCCCTCCTCCACCCATCCAGCCTCCTCCTTCTCCTCCTCCCTCCTTCGCACGGTTCGGCCGTCCACCTCTTTGCTCCCGCGCTTCCCTGACCACCCCAACTCGCCTGGACATCGTTTCTGGATGGGCCGGTGGGGATGCGCGAGGCGTCCAGAACTCCTTCACCAAAACGGGCCCGCCAGCATGGCAGGCCTGTGGGGTGTCCGTCTTTCAGGTGGGCGCGTCCTGAAGTGACGAGGAAGGCCTGCAACGACTTTCAAGGAACTTCCGACGAGCGTGTCGCGGCAGCGGCACTGGCGACACGGTAAGCCCTGCAAGCGGTTGGCGCGTCGGTCCGCTTCGCGGGGAGGGAAGCTCCGACAGGCTCGGGACGCTCACGCTTGGAAGTGGGAACGCGGCTGGCGTGTCGCGCCGAAGCGTGGTGGACCAGAACCGGCGGCGCAACAAGCTGAGCAGAAGTTCCAGACTGCAGCGCCTGCAGGGGACTTGGGGCGGGAGGGTACGTTGCAGCTTCGTTGATGCATCTTGGGTTTACTATGGTCCTCCTCCTCCTCCTCCTCCTCCTCCTCCTCATCCTCCTCCTCCTCCTGCCTACTCCCCACTCCTCATCAAACTCCTCGCTCTTCTTCTCCTCCTCCTCCTCCTCCTCCTCCTCCTGCTCCTCCTCCTCCTCCTCCACCTCCTCCTCCTCCTCCTCCTCTCTTCCCTCTCCTCTCCTCCCCTCTCCTCTCCTTTACTCCTCCTCCTCCTCCTCCTCCTCCTCCTCCTCCTCCTCCTCCTCCTCCTCCTCCTCCTCAGCCGCTCCCATTACTTCCCCCCAATTCCACCTCCCTGATCCAGCCATGATGGCGTGACTACAGACTAGCTCGCGGGCATGTCCTGAGCTCCAGAGCGCGTCCGCTGGCGGGGGGCAGAACATCCCAGCGCCAAGCCCCATCTCCTGACGCGAGATTCACACGCCGACAAACGCCACAGGAGGCAGTTCCAGGTGTCAGACAATCTGAATTTGCTCAAGCCCGGCGTTGTTCCATCGATTTCGGCCCCTGAGGGCCGTCATCGGGCCCGGGGGCCACCAAAACTGAACCTGGGGCGAAAAGCTGCCCCAGATGAAGGGGTCGGGGCCTCTGGGGCTCTGGGGCCGCGCCTCGAAACACACGTCGATCGCCGCATGTCTGGGCCGTCGCGATGCCAGAGCGCCGCTGCCTGGGCACGACCCCGAGTCGCAGTGTGCAGGCCTCTCGCAAGGGCTGGGGCCGTCCTGCCTCCGTGCTGCCATAGCAACCACCGCCCCTGGACTGCCCTGAGCAGCATGGTGCCGCCCTCTCGCTCCCGCTGCGCGGCCTGAGATCCCTCCCTGGGTGGCAGCTCGCTGGCTCCTGGCGGCGTCCTCACTGGCCGGCCCCACGTTTGGCAGAGGCCCAGTCCCAAGACGCCTCGGAGCCACAGGATGCATGCAGGATGAGGCGAAGGAGGGGGAGGGAGGAAGGAGGAGGAAGGAAGGAAGCAGCAGGAGGAAGAGGAGGAGGAGGAAGAAGACGAGGAGGAGGAGGAGGAGGAGGAGGAGGAGGCGGAAGAAGACGAGGAGGAGGAGGAGGAGGAGGAGGAGGAGGAGGAGGAGGAGGAGGAGGCAGGGAGGGAGGGAGGGAGGGAGGGAGGGAGGGAGGATTGGAGGGGGCAGCAGCCGTCTCGCCCGTGCCCTTGCTCTGGCCAGCTGAATCCAGCGCGGCCCCGCTTCACAGCACGTTAGGTGGCGCACCCAGGGGGGGGCCCTGGGCCCCAGGAGGCGCCCCCAGGGGGCAAGTCGGGCAGCGGTCTCCAGCGGCCCCCCGACAACCCCCTAGACTGCTGCCGAGACGGCGTGCCGAAGGTGGCTCCTCCTCCTGCTCCTCCTCTCCTCCTCATCCTCCTCCCCTCCTCCTCCTCCTCCCTCCCCCTGCTCCTGCTCCTGGCCTCCTCTCCTCCTCCTCCTCCTCCTCCCCCTTCCTCCTTCTCCCCCTCCTCCTCCTCCTCATCCTCCTCCTCCTCCTCCTCTCTCCTCATCCTCCTCCTCCCTCCTCCTCCTCCCTCCTCCTCCTCCTCCTCCTCCTCCTCCTCCTCCTCCTCCTCCTACCGTCGGACCTGGGACAGAAGAACACTCTTCAAGAGCAGGAGACCCTCCGCCTGCCAAAGCACCCCGAAGCAGAAGATCCCTCGAGGATCAGTTGCCCTCCACCAGGGCGCACAAGAGCATCCGACACGCAAGATGAACACGAGGGCACCCTCCCCGGATTGGCCTCGATCTCACAAATACCTCGGTCCGACGGTACACGGAAACATCTGTGGACCCTCCAAGGCCATTAGAAGTTGACGAGGTGGACGGGGGGAAAGAGGAGTATTGATGGGGTGTGCGTGGGTGGTGGGGGGGAAGACCTCCACGGGGCCGTCGTGGTGGTTGTCATCGTTGTCGTCCTCGTCGTGGCCGTTGTGGTCTTCGTCCTTATCCTCCTCCTCCTCCTCCTCCTCCTCCTCCTCCTCCTCCTCCTCCTCCTCGTCGTTGTGGCCGTCGTCCCACGTGCCGCCACGAAGGCCCTCGATCTAGTCCGGCCTTCTGGCGGGTCCGACCGCGCCTTCGCAGCAGCAGGGCGGCCCCCGTCGGCACACGGCCCCACCGTACCGGAAAGAAAAAGACTGCCCGAGACCGGCCCGCGAGAGACCGAGGAGGCAGCCCCCAGGATCTGGGGGGCGGACTCCTCCTTCTCCTCCTCCTCCTCGGCCTCCTCACCCTCATCCCTCCTCCTCCTCCTCCTCCTCCTCCTCCTCTCTCCCCTCCTCCTCCTGCTCCTCCTGCTCCTCTTGCTCCTCCTGGGAGGGGGAGGGCGTCGGGGGAAAGCCGCCACAAACCCCCCCCCCCCCCCCCCCGAGGCCAAGACCGGCCACACACAGCGTCCCCCGAGACCCGCCCTCGGGCTCCCTCGCAGCGGCCCCAAGGGGGGGGGACAAAAAGGCACGAATACCGCTACAGTCGG